CTCCCCTCCTCCTCCTCCCCTCCTCTTTCTCTGAGTCCAGGAACTAGGGACTGCTAGGGAAGTGTTTTCCACTGAGCTACATGGCCCAGCCCTGGTCTCACTTTTTGTGCTTTCGGCAGCACTTCCTGAGGCACTGATCTAAGGGACCTTAGCCCCTTTTCTGTGACTTGTTTTTATTTTGGCAAAAATCAAGACTATTTTTAAAGTTGGACCCATACTCTTACTTAGACTACTACTAACTGACATGTCCACCAAGGATGTGGGTCAGACGGCTGACACCTCATGAAATGTAGGCACTGGTGCCAAGCAAGTCAAGAGCAGTAGTCACTGTACTCGTGGCCATGTGCATGCAGTTTTTAAAAATCCAGTTTCACGCCAGGCATGGTGGTGCACGCCTTTAATCCAGCACTTGGGAGGCAGAGGCAGGCGGATCTTTGTGAGTTCGAGGGCAGCCTGGTCTACATAGTGAGTTCCAGGACAGCTGGGGCTACAGGGAGACCCTGTCTTAAAAAGACAAAAAGACAAAAAAAAAAAAAAAATCCAGTTTCACATAAAATGACCTATTTGCAGCTCTGAGAATTACCTATTTTTAAAGTCTTGACCTTTAAGTAGTCTTGACTATTCTTCATAACAAAATGAAAGTGCACGGAAAACACTCACACTGCATCCCAGGCTGAGGTTGACACTGGGATTAGCACTTAGCAGTTGAGCTATGAACTTGCTACTTTTATCCCATGGAGCATTATTTTCACTTGAAAGAATAACTGACAAGCTCTGCTTGTTCCAATTTGAACAGGCAGCTCTCAAGGTGCGTGGAAGTCCGACTGTTATGCGTGTTACAGTGTGTGTTCGTGTGATGACAGCTGAGTAGTGAGATCCACATTTCTGGATAGTGTTGGGCTGATCAAAGACTTCATTTGTAACCTGATTTTTAGGTCAAAGTGGTGTTAACATTACATTCTTGTTGGAGAAAAGGATACCTAGGTTGGGCGCTTCCATCAGAGAACCTAAGAGTAGTTCTCTCCCAGTTTCCTTCACACTCTGGGAATAAGTAGGTGTCAGACTTCAAGTTCTCTCCATTGTGGGTCCTGGGAAGCCCATTAATGGCTTTTGGATAAGCTCACCCAGTTGATCAAACAGCCTTAAAATACCCACTGGTGTTCAAGGAGTGATTTTCTCCCCCTCCCCTGCACTGGCAAACTAAACTGCCTGTCCTACTTTTCTTCAATTCAGAGGCTCCTCCAGCCCTGAGAGCTGCAGTTAACTTACAGGCTTCTCTGCTGGCCATCACTTCCCAGCCTCTCTAGACATTGTTAACCATTCTTTATCCCGCCCTAGTAATACATTCCAGCCAGATGGTGTGACTCGAGGTCACCCACATCCCCCCAGCATCACATGCAGCAGCTTGCTGTCTGTCTTCTGTCCCACACATAGACATTAGACCTTAAAGTTTTTCTTCTGGAAGTAGGAATCTACTTCAGAAGACATCTGGCAGTTTGCGGCTTTCCGGGGTTTTCTTTGTATTACCCCTTCCCCACTACTATAGTTAAAGTGAACTGCATATCCTTGCTTCCTTAAATTTAAAAAAGTCCACTATTTTCCTTCATAATAAATTTTTCTTAGGATACTGTTTCCCATAGTCTTTTCCTGTTTTTACATTTCTAAATCCTTCAAAAATATAACTAAATATCACTTCCCCAAAGCCCTTTCCCCTTTACCTAGGGGAAAAAAAAATCTGTATTTCTATAGTGTATAACATAGACACGTCCTAGGGGTAATTTTGTTTTGTTTTTGGTGTGTGTATTCTGTATGTTAATGTTGTGTAGTGTATGTGCACGTGTGTTTGGGTGCACATGTGCAGTGGGTGGAGGAGGACATCAGGTGTCCTGCTCTTCACTCTCTGCCTTATTCCTTTGAGACAGGTCTGTCTGAACCGAGAGCCAGGCTGGCCTTCACAAGTCCCAGCAATCCTGTCTGCCTTGCCTCCCCCAGTGCTGGGGTTAAAGGTGCTCATGTGACCATGCCCTGCTTCTTTAACATGGGTACTGAGATTCAAATTCCCATATTCAGTCTTGTGTAGCAATGTTCTTACTGAGCCATCTCTCCAGCACCCTCCCCCTGCTTTCAACCAAGGTGTGAGCATACCTATCAAAGTGTGGGTCTACACCTATCCCCAGCTGGACTGTGAGTGAGCCATGGGCAATCAGAATGTGTCTTCCATAATGCACCTTAGGGAATAAGTTGGAGGCTTGCCAGTTCTTAGGGAAGTTCAAGGTCCAACAATTTGAGAATTAACTTACAAAGACAGCCTATTTGTCCCCCAAAAGGTCAGTGACTAGCACATCAGCCTGTCTCTTGAGGGAACCTACTCTAGCCAGGGCTGAAGTTCATCCTTCCAGTGAAGATTAGTTACCTAACTTTGGAATCCACAAAGTTCTATGACCTGGGCCTATTTCTAGACAGGAAGGGAAGCCTCCCTTTAGGCAGCGCACCTGTGCAAAATACTCCTCAGAGATCCTTCCAGCCCATTCAATGCACAGGTCCAAGGGCCGGCATGGATTGGCCACATCAGCACATTTAATCATCATGCGCTTGATCAGGATTTGGTTTTCAGGAAAATTCTTCCCAGTGGGGTTGCATTCACAGTCACTGCCTTCACTCTGGAAAACACGATCAGATCAAGGCTGATGAAGCCTATAGAGGTTAACTCACCAGGCACACAGGTGTGACCGGGACTTAGCAAAGGGAGCTGTTTCATTCCTAAGTCCATTTACAACATACAGGTATACTCTTTTAAAAATTATTAATATGGAATTTAAAAAGTAAAAATCCCTGTCATCACCCATCTACCCATGTGTAGCCTCTTTCTTAGATATTACAGCTAAAGGCAGTGTTGGCTTTGAGCAATTTAGAAGACCAGTGTGTTTTGAGCTATCTGAAAACATGATTGTATCCTAGTATGTACCTACTGGAGAGGGTGCTAATAGTCCTGTGCAATAGCCAGGTCTGTAAATAGAGGTGGATATGCATGCATTCACAGGGCAGTTACTCAGAGCCTGGAAAAAAAGAATTCTCAAAGGTACTATCGATTTGTGTGAAAACAGTTAATTAGCTCTCCAGAGCTCTGCTAAGCTGAAAGACAGCATGAGATGTAGTGGGGTTTTGTTTTGATACTGGTCCTACTTATTAGACCCCTGATGGAAGACTGTTCTAGGGGTTGTCTTGTTAGCCTTGGGAAGGTATTGCTTATCATAGATTTCATGGCAGACAGTACATCTCAACACAGACTTGGCAGCATGGATAGATGACCTTTCCAGATCCATAGTCTATCATCCTGTCTAGCTTTCTGCTCAAAATTCTAAGACATTTGTTCCCACCAGCCCTTGGTGGATAGAGAAGGCTCTGTCACTGTACAGTGGAGTCCTTGGAGGATGAGGTTTAACATAGGTGAAGTGGACACATCTCTCTCCAGATGTTTGGTCATGTATGGGTCCTTACAGTCTCCTCATTGATCTTATTACAGTCTCCTCACTGATCTCCAGGCTTTTTCCCACAAGAGCAGAAACTTTTCTGCTTTTACAGAGCTATGAACCACTTCATGGTTTCAGAAGACAGTTGATTTCACCTTAATAGAGATGTGAGCATTACGCTCCATGTTTCTAAAACCTAGATTTGTAAGGCTCATAAGGGAGGTTCAAGGTGCATCAGTAAATTTTTAAAAAGAAAAATGTTTTTGTTTTCTAGTCATTGCTTGTCCTTGGTTACCTTTAATTGTCAACCCGACATAGCACAGAGTCATCTGAGAAGGGAATCTTGATTGAGGGATTTTGCGGATCAGACTGGCCTGTGGACATATCTGTGGAGGACGGTCTTGATTGCTAATTGATATGGAAGGGCCCAGCCCTCTGTGGGCAGTCCTATCCCTAGGCAAGTGGACCTGGTCTATATAAGAAAGTTGGCTAAGCATGAGCTGGCACAGAAGCCAGCAAGCAGTGTTCCACCATGGTTTCTGCTGTACCTACTTGGCTGTGATTTCCCTGGTCAGAAGTAATGCTGCATGAAATAGCAGGTCTTCAGGTTCCTGCCTTGACTGCCCTCAGTGATGGGACTATCTCCTGGAAGTGTAAGCCATATAAGCCCTTTTCTTCCCTAACTTTTTTTGGTCAGGATGTTTTATCAGGCAACAGAAAAGTAACTGATATACTCCTGTTTTGCTGTGGTCCAGATACTGGTAAATTTTTAATGTGTATTCCAGGAATATAGTTCTTTAAATCATTCTCTAACTTTAAGGTCTCCTAAGAGCTCAACTAACAGAACTGAAAGAGCTCTGGATACCTTACCACACCACCATTCATACCAGTCTCTGCTCGTGTGGGCTCCTTCCATTGCATTTTCAGGGCCTAGCTCCTTTTGTCACTATTGGTTTTATCTCAGGGCTTTCTTTCAAGGAGCTTGCAGTTGCTACGGACAACTGCCCATCTGTTCTGGTCCCCAAGAGAAATAAGTGGCTGGATTTGCAGTCCTTGTCCAGCTCCGAGCAGATAGTCACCTTGTGTTCAGGAGGGAGAAAATTCTTGGCTGCTGGAGCAGGCGCTCATGGAAACACACTGCTGTATCTTATTACATGGGAATGCTTACCTCAGCTGCCAATGGCTTGTTGATGCTGTTCACAAATTTGTTCACATGTTCAAAGTGTTTTGTCATCTCTGTGGCCAAAACCATGTCAATAATAGCCTGGCGCAGTGTTCGATAATGGTTCCTAAAATAACAAGACAAGCACCATGCTAACATTGTGCCCTAAATTAGAACTGTTCTGCTACTGGTTTATTGTGCTCCTCCTACAACCCAGGATGAAGCAGGGACAGAGTCAAGTGAGTACTGATGGCAAGAGTCCACCTGCTTGTCCTTCCAGTGGGCCTGGATTGCCCATGCTATTACATTTTTCCCCAGTGACAGCTGATCTTCCTTTATAGGAATGTTAAGAGCAAAAACGTACATGTCATGTAGTGGGCACTTGTTTTGAAAGGTGGTTCCCGCCCCCTCCCTTTGAGAATACCCGGACAGGGAAGTGGAAGGAAGGGCCAGGCCAGGACAGCAGCCTGATGAGGTTCCCAACTGCATTCTATGCAGAAAGATTCCTGCTGTGGGGAACTGCCACCATTTCTTTTGATGATGCCATTAAGAGTTTTAAGTAATTTTCTAGCTTGCAATTGGTAGATTTTGCAATTTCTGGGGCAACTACACAAGATTACTGGTGAGCTTTTTACCTTTTTCTAACTGTAAGAGGGAAAACGAGGAGCTGAGTAAAACTGACTCCTGCACAGAATTCTTTCTGTACAAGTCCTTGATATTGATGAAACTTAAGGTCAAGTTGGAATAACCATTCCCACTGTATTTACAGATTTTTCTAGAGCTAAACTGATAGGTTCATGTAGCCAAGGTGTCTTGAAGCCCAAGTGAGCTCTAAGGACTCTGTCTAGCAGCTGGCTGATGCTGTGCAGGGAATACCCACACCTGACCAGAGCTGCTGGCTGGCAAGAAGACCTGTCCCAGCTAGTCACATCTAGCTGCTCTGAACAGATATGATCACACAATAAGAGGGAAACCTGCCAGACTTTTGGGGCCCCAGCATCACTGGGACCTCCTCATGAGATAGGATTCTAAGTGACCAAAAACAGCTGGAAATACAGGGAGATATATTGTCTTTGAGTTTTGCAAAAGACAGGATGTCCCCCTGAGAGGGTAAAAATATCTGCCAGACTTATATTAGTAATCCAATCAATATTTATGCAGCACTTTGCAGTACATAAAACATTTTCATGGACTTACTGAAGACCAAATGAGATTTAAAAACATGAAAGCAGTCTGAAAAGTAAAATTAAGTTTATAATGGCAAGGTTATTATTTTATCATCTAATGCAATGGTACAACCATTTTCATTTTACTCTGAGATAAGGCTGAGTATTCAGAGAAAGCAGAGAAAAGTGAGTTTCCCCTTTAGCTTCACAAACCTAAGTACAAGAGCCCACCTCACAACAAACCTGTCAATATTCTTGAAAATGTTGCATTTAGTGTCCTTGACCGTGAGCTGGAAGGCCAGGGCTGTGTGGTGACTCTCCAAGACTGCGGTGTCATTGTAGAGCACAGCAAGCTCACTGCCTGCATTGCACAGGAAAGAGTTGGTCCTTCCAGGGTGATCCACATCATGGACTGTGGCAGCAATCAGGGCAGCCACCTCATCCAGCTGATCGAGGCTTCCCTGGGATAAAGGGAGGAAGGCTGAGCATTACCCATGGGCTTCTGGAGACTGACCTTCATCCTGTTGCTCAGGAGGGGAAGGGCTGGGGGCTGAAACTTAACTGTTCTTTCAGCCTCTTCTTAACCTTAGCTGACAGGTGGCCTTGTGCATATGGTACCTTCCTGTGCTGTGTTTTCTTGAGAGAAGTGGAAATCAAGTGCAGTTACAATACCTGAACTCTTCCTCCACAGTCTGTTCACTACAGCTGCAAGGAAGAAGCCAAATAGATATAGGCCTTTTCCAGCTGCCTGCTGTGAGTCTATTCATGAGAGGCATAGCAGGTAAGACTTGAGTCTGAAGCTCAGCTCTATCCTGTGCTAATGCTGTTAGAGGACCCAGGGGTGTACCTGCTAGTGTTGGTTTAGGTTTATAGTGAGCTTGCTTGCTTGAATGCTCTGTCTCCCCAGGAAGGGAGCCACTTCCATGTTGAATCCTGGCTTGTAGCACTAGTAGCAATCCTGGCTTGGCCCAGCCACTATGCCAGGCTTCCTGAGTGAGTAGCCGGGATGCTACCCTGGAGGTCTTCTCAAGATGAAGTCTGTAGTGGCCAGGGCATCAAAGCTTGTTTAGCTCCACTTCACTGCTGTAAGGAGAGGTCATCATAACCTGTAGGCATAGGCGGCTACCTCTAAGTTCAGGATCTGGAACTGCCCCAACTTCAGTGATTCTAGCTAAGCCATGAGGACCCTGGGGCCCATGCACTGGGTCTCAGCAAGTGCTGATGTAGTACGTCCAGTCCTGCTGGAAGTCCAAGGCTAGTCAATGAAAAAGGCAAGTAAACAGCACTGAGTAGTCCACCTTTCCTTGCAGCCTACACTGACTGAGTCCTAACAGTGGCATTGGCACTTTTACAGAGGCATCAATAATGTGCTGTGTCCTGCAGTTTGATGTGCACTAATGCATGGTCTGGTAAGAAATGGCTGGGAGGTAGGACAAGAGGACAGGGCAAGCTTGTAGCAAGGAGAGAAGGGAAGCAAGGCCCTTCCTGTGTATGCGGATGAAACCTCCAAACCTCCATACATAGAGACATCTCTGCACTGTTCTTTACTTCTTTATCAAGAAAAACTGATTTGGAGCACACTGAATGGCTCCCTTTTGGATCACCTTTCCAATTGTTCCTTGTTAGGATAGTCACTTAGGCCGAGAATAAACAGTGCTGGCTTTCCTGGCCTGTCTGCTTACAGAGGGTCTCAGGAACCTGAGATTAACCTGAGTTAAAGCAACCATGGCATGTGGTCTATAACCAGCTGAGAGGGCCTGGCCATACTGGGATGAAGATGCTTTGTAATAGTGACATTAAAAAATTTTAACCTTGGGGCTGTGGGTGGAGCTCAACAACAGGACATATGTTTAGCATGCATGAGGCTCTGGATTCGATTTCCAGCACTCACAGATTATTTTTATCACTCCTAAGAAATCAGAGGGACAGATGATCCAAGAAGTAGTAAAAATAAATTTTCCTGTCTCTTAGTCAGGGGGCAGCATGTCTAATAGAAGCCTCAGCAGTGAATTCCACTGGAAGTGCCTCTTGCTGAACTGAGCAGTGAACTTGGGCTGAACTTGACCAGGTTCCCTGCAGCCTATACTTACTGAATTTCAGGCAGGAGTTGGTAGAGTTAGAAGATAACTTTTGAATTGTAAGCATATTGTAACTAGTCTGAGACTCAGGTCTAGAGCTGTATTTGAGAAATTCAGATTTAGTACATTATCAGGACGCACAAGTTCAAGGAACATACTTATTTCAGAGGAGGGTGAGGTGAGGAGATGATGGCGTGACTACACTTTCTCTAATTTCTAGTATGTCTCCTGTGAGTTTTCCTAGAAAAGTTCTGCTTAAAGGAGTTTCACCTCAACTCTAGACTGCAGTGGCAGATCACTCCATTCTTGGTGCTAATGACCTGGGTGCTCTTGTCAGCTGGCAGTGAGGCCTCGGCTGAGTCACATCTCACACGAAGGAGAACCCACAGCAGAGGTGCAGAGGTGTTGTGGCTCCAATGGAGGCGTTACAGACACAAACTGATACTGTGATCATTTTTTCTTTTTTAAAATAGAAGACAAAAATCTTCAAAAGCATTATTCTTAGACTACATCGTTTCCTTTCTTGCTAAGCTGCCAGGATGAATCTTTGGCAAAACCGAGAAGGCCCGTCCCTCCTCTACCCTAGTTTTGGTGCTACTTCCACTCCTGCCTGTCCCTCTGTCTCTTCACCTTAAGCCCTGCCATTTCCAGTTTCAATTGTCAACTTGACAGACCTGGGAAGAGGAAATCTCAACTGAGGCATTCCCTCCAGCAGACTGGCCTATGGGCATGTCTGTGGAGTATTTTCTCATGCTGATTGATGTAGGAAGGCCTAGCCCACTGTGGGCGGTGCCACCCCTAGGCATGTGGGCCAGGCTGTTTAAAGGTAGCTGAGCAAGCCAGTAAACAGTTTCCTTCCATGGTTTCTGCTTCAGTTCCTGCCTCCATGTTCCTGCCTTGGCTTCCCTCACTGAGGAACTGTAACCTGTAAACCAAATAAACCTTTCCTCTCCAAGTTGCTTTTGGTCATGGTGTTTATCACAGCAACAGAAGAGCAAACTAGGACAAGCATCTAGTGTCTTAATCCCATACCAGACCTGTTCCAAGAGAATGATCCAATGGCAGCCAATGGCAGCATCCACAGATTGATGTGCACTTCAGTCTCTACAGAGAACATCTTTGAAGAGCATCTTTGGGTGTGTGTGTCTGTGTGTATGTGTCTGCGTCTACGTCTGCATGTCTGTATACTGGGAATCAAACCCAGGCCTTTGTGCATGCTAGGCAAGTGCTCTATCCAAGCTACACTCTAAATTTTAAGCTTTAGTTCTAATTATAGCAAAAGAATCAAAGCTTTACTGTGCAAGTAATGGTAGTTGAGGAAGGGCAATGGAACCTCTGAGCTACCATAAACCCAGCCCTCTCACAGCAGTATTGACCTCTGAATTAAAAGGGTTGTGAGACTCGCAATTAGGCAAAAGTCATAATGTACACGTCCACACCTACACAGACTGCATATATGCACATGAGTCAGGAGAAAGTGACATGGCTTCTTACTAGAATTGTAACACAGCAGTCAAATCCTGACACTAAAATTTAGCCCCAAGACCTAGCAACTGTGTTCTAATGATTACCTTCTGTCCTGCAACCCAAGCACAGAGATCTCCTGGTAAACATTTGAAGCATGAGTTCATGGATCAGCCACACATAAAAGAGTCTACAGTGACGTAATATTTTAAGCATTTGGAGAAAAGACATGGACCTTATGTCTTTAACAATCAATTTGATAACCACTCCACCCCAAACCCTTGTCAAATGGTTACAGTTCTGCTGTTTGTCTAATGTATTTACTAAGATTAAGTTTTGGGGTCTCCACTCTGGAGATAGATTATGATATTAGAAGTCTACCTTCACTCTTTCCTTTCCAAGGAAGAAAGCTGTGGCGTGCAGGACATCGGCAGCATGGGTGGAATTATGGTAGGCATTGGAGGAGTGGTAGTTGGCTTCAATCACTTGCAGCCAAGCTCGAAGAGTGGTTTCAGTACAGTTTAGAAATTCACATACTCCAAACCGAGAGAAGACCTTTAAGCCCAGGTAAACCAAAGGCCTGCAAATATGAAATAAACACTGGTTTATTGCATTCACTGGCCCAGGGACTGCTCTCTTTGATGGCATCTTAATTTATTTTCTTCTTTTTCTATCTCTTTCTTTCCCTCTCTCTCTTCTTTTCTCTTCTTTTAAAAAACATTTTATTATTTTTATTTCATGTGTATGAGTTTATTGCCTGCATGTATGTAAGTGCACCCATGCCATGCAATGCCCGAGGAGGTCAGAAGAGAGCATTGGATTCCCTTGGAACTGGACTTACAGATGGATGTTAGCCATACCATGTGGGTGCTGGGAATCAAACCCAGTCTCCTGCAAGAACAGCCACTGTTCTTAACCGATAGGCCATCTCTCCAGCCCCTATTTGTTTTTCTTTCTTTCTTTCTTTCTTTCTTTCTTTCTTTCTTTCTTTCTTTCTCTTTTTTTAGTCTTTTGAGACTCTCTCTCTCTCTCTCTCTCTCTCTCCCTCTCTCTCTCTTTCTTTTATTTTTATTAATATACACCAAGTACAAAAACTCCTGCATTTTCTCACCAGTCCTGTCATGCAGGTCAATCCAGGTTATTTCTAGGTTGCCTATAAGTCACAAGCCCTCTTGTGGTCCCTTTCCATCTCTGCTTCCACATGAGTCCTGCACATGTTTTATGCCCTAGGGCAAGTTAAGAGCCTGACGACAAAAGGAATGGCTTGGGTGGTCTCAGCAAAGTCACCTCATTTAGAATTTTGTTACTTAGGGGTGATTCATTTATATTTCACAAATGACAAATCTGTTGTACTCTCAAATTCTGGAGTGGGGGTTGGGGTGCGGGAGGATTTTGCCTAGGCTGGTCTGGAATCTCTGGGCTCCAAGTTGCTAGTGTGTCACTGAGCCTGACCTCCTATCCATTTTGTAGCATAGAGGAGATGAGAAAACAGAGCTCTCAGCTTGTCAGCACAAATGAGAATAGATATGAGGACGTGCATGCTGAACCCATACTTTTCCCATGGATACGCCCGCCCCATTAAGGAGCTTGTTCAGGACACACAGCTCAAAGTTTCTAGATGTGAAGGCCTTGACTATGCCAGTCACTACCCCCAACCCTACAGCCAGAGATGGCACATACCTTTTATGTGTCACTGCTTCCAATTCAAAGATGTTGAAGTCCCAACTTTCCTCATTGTCAAGTAATTGGGCGATACTAGGGGGGACATCATTGATGGTTATGGGCATCGCAAGGTGACTGTGACTCTGGTGCACATCTGAGCAAACATGGGGGTGGGGAGGCCATTAGGTGTGGAGTCTCCAGCACCATTTCTCATCATCATTATGGTTGTCATTAGAATTAAAGTCTTCAACTTCATTGCTAGGGAGACAGTAGTACCCACACCCTTCTCTTATATTATGAAACCTCAGGACCTCCCCCCCCAATAATAATTTGATTTAACAACCTGTTTAAAGGTAGGGAGAGTGACAGTCCTTATCTAACAATGCTCAGATAAATCATTTTACTCAGGAGACAGAGTTTCAAATATAGACCACAGGGATGAGTAGACTCATGAGGACAATTGGAATCAACACCAAGGCCCTCATGGACCAGTCATAAGCCTGGGGATGGCACAGGCTGAATCTGGGTGATTATTAACACGTGATAGGTAGACACTTACTCTTTGTAAACACATACTCATTCCCTGACAGTCTTCTCAAACCATCCTGGAACAAAGAGATGCTGTTAGAAGCATGCTTCATACTCATCATCATTCTCTCTCTTTCCTTCCTTAGCCAGAGGTGGAATTCTGAATAACCCACTCCACCTGCGACTCCAAGTTGAGGCAGAGTTCAAAATGAAGTTGCAGTGACAGCTAAAAGACAGAGTGTACTCTCCTTTCCATGGTTACTGGTCCTGGGAGGTGAGGTGGGAAGAAGGCAGGTTTGCATGCTTGCAGGTCTCACGCCTGAGTTGCAAGTTGGCTCAGTTGTCACAGCTACTTTCTTGGCATTTTGAAGCCACATAAGCGAAATCAAAGAAATGCTCTTGCTTTGGATATGTATAATATCTACGTGTCCAAACCTCATAGAGATTGAGTCATTCCTATGGCCTCAGAGTCAGCCACATTTTTAGGAAAACCATCTTTTTTTCTGTTTTGAAACATAAGCATTGCTTCTATCCTTTCAAAGAAAAGTTTCTGGATTCAGAGTTTTTTAAGAATGTGGTTGTTACGACTGTCAACTTGGTTGAATTGAGAGCCATATAGGAGATTAGTAAAGCACACCATGGGAGTGTGTGCACGGCCTTTCCAGAGATCAGTATATCACGGGGGCTCTGACCTAATACATGCTTTCATTCATTGGCAGAGTCAAATCTGAATGCTATGTAAAATGTTGTGAGATGGTGAATTGTGGGCCTGGTTTTAGGTAGGAGGAAGTAGGTCACTGGGTATGTGAATGAGAAATGTCCCTAAGGTTCCCATATTTGAACACTTGGTCCCCAGTTGGTGGCACTGTTTGAGAAGGTTTAGGAGGTATGGCTTTGCTGAAAGACTGTCCCAACGGGGTGGACTTTGAGAGTTCATAACCTTGACTCACACTTCCAGCTTCTCTCTAGTGCTGCTTCCTAAATGTGGTGGAAGATGTGAGCTCTCAGGCCTCTCTGCTCTAGCCACCTCCTGCCATGCCTCCTCCACCATTATGGACTCCCCCTGGAAATGTAAGCCAAAATAAACTCTTTCTTCTATAAGCTGCCTTGGTCATGGTGTTTTAGCACAGCAACAGAAAAGGAACTAGACATTGGGCCATGCCCTTAGGGGTCTGCCATGCCCTTAGGAGTCTGTCTTGCCCTGGTCCCTGCTTGCCACTGTGCTGGTCTGCTTCTGTCCAGCACTATGTGCACTGCTTCTCCACACCGCCTCACCATGAAACACCTCTGAAGCTGTGGGCAAAAGTGTTTGCTCCTTCTAAGTGTTTGCTTCTGTGTCAGGGTTTGTTTTTTTTTTTTGTCACAGGCATAAGAAGAGCTTACACGGGAGGCAGAACAAGAGTGAACACAGTTCCAGTGTTCTGCCTTTTACACACCTGCACTTGAACCAGACATTCTTGAATCTGTTCCTTGCCTCTACTGTCTATGCTCAAATACTTCATTATTTAGATTTTTACCTAAAAGCCATTTGGAATTATTTATTATATGCAGAAAATACGTGCTAAAGTTGAAAGTAGTAGTAATTAATGAAAGATGTCTTTGAAGTCACTTTGGATCTTTAAGCAAAGAAGCTAATCTTCTGAAATGGGTAAATGGTCACACAGCCCAACCTGCCCTTCCTCTAAGGTGAGGATGCACTCCCCTCCTGGTTTTTGCTTACCTTTCACCACTTCCCCAAGCCACATCAAAATGAGCTTGAGTCCCACACTGGCTCCTCCCAACATTATCTGGAGGGGAAGCCCAAAAAGGTATGGCAGAAGGGAGGAGAGAGGCAGGCAGCTAGTTCTTGTTCTTGAAACCAGAGTCCTCCAGCCAAAGCCCTGCAGGGACTGTCCCTTGTCAGTACTCAGCAGAAGCTGAGGCTAGTGCTACATTGGAATGGGACAGCCAAGGGCAGCATACATGTGGGAAGAATTGGAGGACACTCAAATTACAGGTGGAGAACAGGCCAAGAAGCCAATCAACACCCAGCATTTGGAGGCTGGGTTAGAAAGAAATCTGCAAAGGAGAACTGGATGTCTCAGACTGTTTTTTCTCTCCTAAAGTAGCTCCCAGCTTCAGCCTCTGATGAGCCCAGTGGAAGTTGGACTTTCCTTCCTCACTTACTGATAGGCAATGTTTAAAGCCAAATTGATCATAACACAACATTAAGACTGGGAGAGACCTGAGGCATAAACTCCTCTGGGTGCCACACGTGGTACGTCTCAGAGTACTGGTGGGTGTGGCCCACCCTTTCCCTGCTCTGAGCCAGAATGTTTCCCCTCTGCTTTTATCTGGTCTGTAGCCTAGAGTTTGGAAACTGCTCTCATCTAGGTACAAACCCTTTCATTGCACAGTCATTCCATGGTACCCTTGGGGCATTAGTTCCTGAATCATCCTGTTGTAATGAACCCAAGGATGCTAAAGTACCTTCTGTAAATGACATTGTATTTGCATATAACCAAGGCACACCCTTCTGTATATTTATTTGAGGATTACTTAACAGTAAGCACAGTGCAAATGCACTGTACATTGTTGTATTGATAGGGAATAATGGCAAGAAAAATCTGTTTATGTTTAGTAAAAATGCAGTACTTCCCTCTCTCCTACTCTCCCTCCATCTCCTTTCTTTCTCTGCCTCCTCCTCTCTCCCTCCATCCCTCTGTCCCTCCTTGCCAACTCCCTCCCTCCCTCCCTTCCTTCTTTTCTTTTACAAGGTCTCACTGTATAGCTTGGGCAGGCTTCACACCTGCAGTCTTCCTGCCTCAGCATTCTGGAGTGCTGGGGTCACAGGCGTGCACCATATCCAGCCTTTTTCTTTTCTTTTTTTTAAGTATTTTCAGTCTGGTTAGCTGAATCCACAGATATAGAGCCAACAGATAGAGAGGGCCAAATGTATAGACACAGTATGGAGTACAAGAAAATGCAGCTGTGACCTTCAACCAAACACTATAAATCAGACAACGGAGCAGAAAGGAAAAACAGGGCTGTTCAACCCCTATCTTGTACAGTTAAGTCTCCAGTCACCTGTTGGTTTCTACTGTAACAGAAGAATCCTGAAGGGATCTTTCCATTGCTGTGGTTAGTCAGCACAGTAAAAGATAAATGCAAGAATCTTGGGTATGACCACACATAGAGTAAAGAAATTAACACAGCTGCCACTGGTTGTGCTGTTTGTCTATACGTCAGGTACTTCTGTTACCAGAGGCCGCAGTGTGCCATGAGGGGGCGCTTGGTGCCTCCTTTGCATTTCTGGGTTCTCACTCACAGTCATCAGGCCTCCAACAAGATCGCTGGTATGAGGATCTTCGTCTTTGGTTCCCAGCTGAGGGGAGTACAGTTCTGTGGTCCGTAAAATTTCTAGAACTCTGTCCAAGGCTTCTGCTACTGTGACTGGGCTGTTTTCTTGGGCTGCATTGATTATATTTATAACCTAAGAAGTAAAAAGAATAAATTTGAGGACATCAGGATACTACTTACTTCCCAAAGTTAGACATATGCAGAAGAAATCGAGAAGAAATTGGGTAACGACCACACCTAGCTCAAAGGGCAGCTCTTCTGCACCCCTTCCCCACCTTCTTCCTGAAGCATGCTTTGCAACCTTTGCTGCCCCATGGCCTTCCAGCTCTGGACCATGGCTCTGATGCTCCCGAGCTCCCTCACTGACCTGCTATAGCTCTTTTCTATGGGTTGGAGTTCAGAGACCAGTTTTCCAGCTTCCCTCACTGTATGGCCCTTCCAGAAATGACATTTCATTTCCATTACTCTACACACACAATTCATAACCAGACTTCCTTTTTAAAATTTTATTTATTATTTTTATTTTATGTGTATGAGTGTTTTGCCTGCATGTATTTAAGAGCACCTGTGCAATGCCCACGGAGGTCAGAAGATGGTGTCAGATTCTCCTGGAACTGGAGTTATGGATGGTTGTTAGCTACCATGTGGGTGCTGGGAATCGAACCTGGGTCCTCGGCAAGGGCAGTCAGTGCTCTTAATCCCTGAGCCATCTCTCCAATCCCCACAGCCAGACTTCCAACTTTACTTCTCAGATTCTATCTAGACTTTTCAAATGCCCTTCTGACCCACCTACAGGACTGTCTTATGTGCCTGAAATTAAACTCCAATCTTATCTCCCTTCTCACAAAGCAAGTAAATGACAACAACAAAATCAAAGGCAAGCTGTTCCCTGTAGTCTGTGTTGCAGTGGTGAGCCCCTGGACCCACTGCCTGCCCTGTCCGCCATATTGCCTCCTTCATTCCTTAGCCCACCCCGACAACTCACCAAATCCAAATGGTTCTCTTACTGGACATTTCCTGCCCTATTTCTTTCTCTCCACTTTAACAACAGCCCAGCAACCACCTTTCCTGCCTGGAATTCCAGAAAACCCCCAAATGGCCTCTTTTCGTGAACTCTTTCCAACTCCTACCCATTCTTGGCATACTGGTTGAGTATTCTTTACGGTGACACATGTGCCTGACCATGTCATCCCTATTTCAACTCCACAAGCCATTTTGGCTATACACAAACTAAAACAAAAATCACTTCTGGTCCAAGTGACTAGAATAAGCCGAGTCCATAAAACTTATGGCATCATCATTTCACCTCTGCCGGCCATGCTCCAGCCTCCCTGGCTTTTTTCTCAATCCAGTGGTGAAGCACCTTGGAGATGTTCCCTGCTGCTCCTGCCCCTGCGGTCCCCTTCTGACCAATTTGATTCTCAGGTTTAAGTTTTGCTTCAAACGTAACTTTCATATAGAGCGGCCTTCTTGACCACCCTTTCATCCAACTTACAGTCATCCCTAACCTCACTTCTCGCACAGATTCCTTGCATGGCTTCCTTTAGAGCACTGATTCTATTCTCTAATTACATACTTATTTATGTGTTTGCTTAGTATGTTTCTCTCAGTAGACTATGAACTCTGTGCTATCAGCAGCCCAGTGAGGCACAGTGGAGGTAGCAGCTGCCACTCACCTTTGTGATGGGAGCCTCGATGGTCATGGAGTGGATTCTTGCCATGGAGGGATAGCGGCGATTTTGTAGGCTTGGTGCTGTGGAGAAGGTAAAATAGTCTTATCTGGTGCTGGTGGTGCAGCTTGGGCTAAGCATAGTTGAGAAGCCCTTTCACAGGGGCCTCATTCTCTTAGGACCTCCCTCTCTCAGTGCAGTGAGTTTGCACATCTCCTGTCCCTTGAGAGCTGACAACGAGGCCCCACCTGATGAGTCTGGAAGGTGGTATGCCTGAACGCTGATGGCACAGGGCTTGGAGAACCCCAGCCCCACAGGGGGATTTAGGGAAGGCTGGTAGGATCCTGATGCCTCAACCCTATAGCCCAACAATCCCACAGGACTGCCCTTCCCTCAGTCACTGAAGCCCCTCTCAGGCAGTCCTGCCCTTTCCTTCTAAAGCTTCGGGCTGTTGTGACTGCTTACTTGCCCATGGGGGCAGGAGACAGAATAGCTCTCGGTCGCGCTCCTTCCTCAGCCTTTGGGTTCATGACACCAAGAGCCTGATGGTTGTGGTTCTAACATGGACAAACCCATTTTAAAACGACTTCATACTTTTAATAGGTAATGCTTGCATGTGATTTAAGATTCAAATGATAGCAGCATTCCTTTAAAAGAACTGTCTTCATCAACCTTCTCAACCTTCCCTGTAGGGAAGCCAGGAGGTTGCACGATTTCAGAGGTAGGATGACTTTGCCCAGCCACCTCGGCAGGGCTTTAATGCCAGCCACAGCCACTGTTGGCCTCTTTTGTGCTCCCCCACTTCCACCTTGCCCGTGTGGTTGACCACAGATCTGCTCTAAGCACTGGCAACTTGGTTCTGACCCTCTCACCCAGGATCCTCTCCATCCAACATGTTTTCAGCCTATCTCAAGATGGATATTTTCTTCACATCCTTGCCCTTTATCATCTGTATATCATGTGGCAATCTGTCATTCTCTGTGGATTCTCCATCTTGTCTCAGGTATCCTTGGTCACACTTCTTTCATACTCAGCTCAGTCCTCCCATTGTGCCCCAAAGGACTAGGAAGTCCTTCACTTGATTTTTCCATTTATTCATTTAAATTACTCTCCCCCTTATATGGAAGGCACTAGCTAGTCTCTCTCAGGCCCCTAGAACCTGTCCTTCCAGTTGCCAAAAAAAAAAAAAAAAAAAAAAATCTAATGTGGGCTGGGGTGTGGTTCAGAGGCACAGTGCTTGCCTAGCAAGTGTGAGGCCCTAGGTTCCATCCTCAGCACCACAGAAAAACCAGAAAAATCCCAAATGAATGAGTGAAACTTCTCAGCCTGCTCTCTGGCCTCAAGCTCTAGCATTGGCAGCTCGGCCCACTCTGCAGCTCCCTTCTCTTCGTTCCCACCTTCTTGGTTCATGGGCCTGCACTCCCACCGTTCTTCAACATGCTATTTCATGCCTCTGCTTCACTCACATGTCCACAGCCCTTAGTGAAGCTCCTCTGCACCCCCAGATGCCCCAGCCCCAGCCCCAGCCCTGACTCTGCAGCATAGCTTCCCAGGTTTCCTCTTCCCCTCCACCTCCAAATGAGCCACACCTGCAGGTGCCGCCACTTCTGTGATACCCATTCCTCTGACTCCTAGGAATGACTTTTCAGGTTGGCTTTGACCTTTCTCACCACAAATCAAACTGGCTACCTAGACTTGATTCATTGAACTCAAAAAGTGTTTTTCAAAACTCTGAGTCACAGTTTCTGACATTTTATTAAGGGAAAAATCAAATGGGTGTGTGTTGGAGCTGGGAAGCCAGGGCACTGCCCGGCTCCTTGTCATTAGAGCCTCAGAACTACCTTCCCTGGCTACTGAAATCGCATTGCCTGGATAGCTAGGCGATCTGACATACATGGGGACATGGAAGAACAAACCTGGGGTCCTTTCAAAGAGAAGATAAAGGCTGTAGAAGGCACAAAAGAATATATTTTAAACCCTAAAAGACTTTCCATTTATTGGAACAAAAAACTAGTCTATTTGAAAATTTTCTCCTTGGAGTTTATACACTGATGAACATTTTGGACATATTCCTCTGTCATTTTCTACACTTTAAAAAAGGTCACGGAAATCTGAAAACTTACCATCACTGCCTCGAGAAGATATTGATTTCACATCAATGGACTCTTTCCTCCTGCTCTTGTATCTGAACGAATGTGGCTCTGGGGAGTTCAGGTTAGAAACAGAAGGTCACTGGTTTTCAGTGTATTCACACAGAAGTATACACCTTCCCCTTACTCTCCAAAGAAAACAAGGTTACTTTTTAAGCACTAGAAAACACATTCAAGATGTGAGAGGCCACTTTCTCTTCAAGTCACCCTAATAGGGAAAGGATGCCTTTTCCTTCTCATGGTTTCTTTGTTATATCACTTAAATGGAGTTAATTAAGGGTTATTCAGCTCCATAAATAAAATATCTTCTTGAAAACAATATTAAAGCTTAGGGAAATGTTCAGAGGATTCATCTTGACTGAAGAGCTACATTTGACTTGATAGGGAAGCTCTACCCTAGGTTTATTTGGGGGAAATAAAATCCTAGTGAAATCCATGGGTACTTTGCATTATCTGAGAAACCAATTCAGATAAAGTTTGGGGGACTTCTGAGAAGTCATACCTCTAGACCATCAGCTTTCATAACAATGAGACAGGCATTGTTAATTGACTTTGCAAATGAAATTCTGAGGGTCAGAAAGAGCAAATAAAATCTTTCAGTGTTGGCCAACTGTGATCATTCCAGAATCAAGAAAAGGGACTAAGTAACTATCCCAGGCTTTGACTCCAGGCACCCATCAAAAAAAGAATGACTGGCAGCCATCTTTCCAGGAGCAAGAATTGCAAACCCTTACTAACTGAATTTTTTCCTCTCCAGTGGTCAGATAATCCCAGTCCTTTCCACAAGTATGTCAGCAGGCCAGCCCTTTACTTTGTGGATGAGGAAACCAAAGATCAGAGCGTTGCTCAAGGTCTAAGGCACATGAGTAGGGAGCCAAAATGGGAGTTCAGGGACTCCAGGACCAGGCCCAGCCACGTTTTCCATTTGTAAAGCCAATCACCAACTCCTGTACAGAAAGGGAACTGAACATGAGTGAACTAGCACTGTGTTCCTGCCTGTGCCAGCCCTAGATGGCCAGCAACTCCCCTAGACTTGTGGACCACTCTACATCTGCTCTACATGGTCTCAAACCAAGAAAAGAAAACCACTATGAGAGGAGTCTAGGAGAGGAGGCTGCCACAAACCAAGAGACAAGGATCTGTTTCAAGGATTCCTGCTGCTCCTCTGGCTCTCCAATCTTCCAATACCAGCACTTGGATTTTAACAGTCCCTAGTGTGGGGTGGTGAATGTCACCTTGAACCTCTTCAGAACAATGACAGACTCAGTCCCCAAAGGCCTCTGTGGTGGTTTGGGTGAGAAGTGTTCCTCTTAGGCTCAAATATTTGAACACTTGGCCAGTTGGTGGTGCTGTCTGGGGAGAGTCCTGGGATTCCCTAGGAGGTGCGGCCCTGCTGGAAGAAGCCTGTCACTGGGGGCAGGCTTTGAGAGTTCATAGCCTTGCCTCATTTCCAGTTTCTGTTCTGCTTGGTGTGCATGCTTACAGATGCATGCACTCGGCCTTCTCATCCAGCTGCCTCCTGCCATGTCTCCCCACCCTGATGGTCTCTCATCCCTCTGGAAGCCCAATAAACAATTCCTTCTATAAGTTGCCTTGGTCTTGGTATTTTATCACAGCAACAGAAAACTAATACGTAAGCACAGAGTAAAAGAAGTTTTCTCACCTGTCTGAGAGTTGTCTCCTGAATCACGATGAATTCTGTGAATCTGGAATTGTTCCAAAGTTTGGCAAAAAGAGAGAGAGAGATTTTATATGTGGGACTCGTTACATTTCTCAACTTAGTTAAAAAGCTCTGAAGACTTCCAGAAAGCAAGACAGTGCACACGTTGGATGAAGAAATAAGAGAAGCACTCCAGGGGAGGCTACAAATGCTTCGTAGCTTTCAGGCACTCATGTCAAGCTGAGCCTAGGAGCGGGGAAGGATGCAAGAGATGCTCTCTCTAGGCAGATCTAAATCTCCAGCTAGCCTCATCCAGATGGTCTGTTGAAATGCAGAAAGACAAAAGCCAGAACTCAAGCCAAAGCTTTGTAATACATGTCATAATTTTTCTGAAATAAAAAAATCTGAGTTCAGAATTTTTTTAAAAACATCTTACATTTTTAAAATGTTTTTTGATTACTGATAATTGATTTATGAACTCTTTCTTCACAATGAGGCCCAGACTTTAGACGCCATTTTACACCTAGTTCTTTCTCATTGACATATTTGTTTCATGTCAGTGATTTTGTGCAAATACTCAATAGAGAGCCAATGATCAAATGAAGTCATCAACACTAGAAATAATACATATGCTTTTTGTGGGTTCTGCATTTCTTGCATTTACAGCCAACTGAGGCACATTGTTTATTACACTTAGAATCACACTGTTTCTCTGCTAAATCCATCTGCTTCCATCCAGAGATCAGGTCAGTCAACCTGTTCAGCCATTCAATTAAGGGGCAAGGTCAAGTGGGAAAACAAGAGATGTAGTTGTGGGGTCTGTCAGTGAAGGAATATTAGCATGGCTTAGCAACATCAACTCTAATGTCCAGAAAGATCACATATGCCAGACACAGGGAAAAAAAAATCCCAGCTTCATTAAACCATTGAAGAATAATCAGGTAGGACTGATTATTGGTAATCAGGTATGGCTTAGTTGGTAAAGTTCTTGCCACACAAGCATGAAGATCTGAATTCAGATCCTTAGCACCCATATAAAAACTCAAGAATAGCAATGAGCCTCTTTAACTCTACTACCAGGGCAGAGGGGAGAGAAACAGTTTCCTGAGCTCATTGGCTACCCAGTCTAGCAGAATCAGTGAGTTCCAAGTTCAGTGAGAGACTTGGTCTCAAAATTAAGGTGAAGGGTGATCAAGGAAGATAGATGTCAATCTCTGGCTTCCACATGCATCCATGTATGCACATGTGCACACACCACATGAACATGCACATATAACACACACACAATCAGGTATAACTGAAGTGCTAAAATGAGGCTGTCTATGAACTCTGTTTAGCCCATTCCACATCTTTACAAAACATGTTAGTGCTATTGCCTATCACTCATAATCATGGGATCTTTTTATTATTTCTTCTGCGAACCTTGTTTCATGTTCTCCTTCAGAAAAAAATGACCATTTGCTATAAAGCTACTTAATCTCAGTGCATATTTTTATATATACAATGTGAGTAAAGCTTTTGCATTATTTTGTTTCTTCAATAAGCCTTAGCTCAAAAACTTCTCTCTTTGAATCAAAATACACCTCTCCTTTAGGAGCAAAGGCCCCTGGCTTCCCATATTATGCAAAAACGTCCCATCTCAACCTCCTTTTCTCACCTACCATAGGCTCACAGGCCAGTAACAGAGCTCCCATGACTTCAGTGTGGGCCATGTGTTCTGTGTAGAGGGAGCTGGCCCAGCCCTGCTTTAGGGTTGAAAATGTGCCCCAGTCAATGAGAGGATGGGAGGAAAGGGGAGGGGAGAGAGGGAAGAGCAGAGGCCCAGTTCCATCTGCCGGAGTGGCTCCGGCCCATCCTTTTGCACATACAGTGTTGTAGTTGGTGCTCTGAACTGAATGTGCTGCATCCACATTGGCACACTGGCCTCTGATGGGCTCTGTACCTGCTGCCAGCGGCAGAGTCCACAGACAGATATTCCTTACTTCACAACCAGATGTTCTTCAGGCTGCATCCGGGTTCTATATTGTGACCTACTTCACAATGCTCTGTACAAAGGACATCTGGGAGCCCTTCCTTCCACCATACTCCAGAAATCTTAGGCTTTTCACTGAATCTCTCTGATGATAGGAGTACCTCTCCTGAGTACTCCATTTTATAACATTCACTTGGATGACAAAATTACCTCTTAGAACAAAAATTTCTTCTAGAGATCTAAAACTACCAATATTAAAAGTCAGTAAAAATTATTCTAAGATGATTTTCCTCATAACCGTTAGTTGAACTCATGGAGGATATAAAAAGGAATGAGTAGCTCCTTATTCTTTGTGATGAGCCCAGGAGAGGTTCAGGGGCTTGAGGACCAAGGAGCAGGAAGAGGAAGGAACTTCACTTCATGATAATAGTTGTTTCTCATGTTAGCTGAGTGACAAGGTTCCTCTGCTTGAAATTGCATCATTATAAACCTTTGAAGAGAAGAAGCAGTACCATTTCCCTGGACAGGCAGGGCGGAGAGATTGAGATTTAAAGGGCCAGTAACTTGTTTGTGTCAACACACAGTAGTGCTCAGAACTAAAACCATGATCTCTCTAACTCTGTGGCCAATTGCCTTTGTTACATGGATCTCTACAGAAAGGCCCCTGAAGAGATGTCTCAGGCTGAGATTTGTAAATTGAGGTCTAAGGAAGTACCAGATCGATCAGCACAAGACAACCATTTGAAACATAAATTTCCCTGAATTTAGAGACGGTGTCTTTGTCACATTCAGGCTAAAGCAAGAAGATCAGGAATCACTGTTCTCAAGCTAGTAGTCACTTTCTCTAGAGCATGCTGCTTATTTTTCCTCTTCTAAAGCTTAAAATGTAGTGTGCTTTTCATGTGTAGGAATGATGGGAATGTGCAGGAATGATGGGAATGGTGATACGAGGTGTTACCAGAGAGTCAGAAGCTTTAAAAGCACTACAGTTTCTGCAGTGTGAATTCCACTGCTCTAGATCTGTGAAGCTGTCAGAGCACAGAGCTGTGATTTTCTAGCAAATCCTTGAGATTTGAAGCTTTCATGTACCTGTGAGCATGTGTACACAAGGGAACACATGCACACACATTCAAGTGTAATAATGATTTTAAATATTTAATTTAAAATGTCTTATTTACAAATGACTGATTTTGCTCAACTTTTAATGATGCCAGCCCTCCTTTCTCTCTGGGATTTTCTTTTCCTTCTTTGTGGTCCTGGGGATGAAATCAGGGTCTTGGATGCTTGCTCTACCACTGAGCATCCCTAGCCTCTGATTATGCACTACAAAATCTGGATTTGTGTATGTTTATGCATGATTTCAAGATCATTTGTCTCTTAATGTTCATTTAAAAATTGTACTCTTGGGCTGGAGAGATGGCTCAGGGGTTAAGAGCACTGACTGCTCTTGCAGAGGACCTGGGTTTTATTCCCAGCACCCACATGGCGGCTGTGAACCGTCCTTAACTCCAGTTCCAGGGGAATCTGAAGCCCTTTTCTGACCTCTGCGGCATTGCACGGCACGGGTGCACTCACATACATGCAGGCAATACACACATACACATAAAAAATAAAATTAATAATAAATAAAATATTTTTTTAAATTGTACTCTCGTTTATTACAATGAGAAAGCTTTCAGGTTCACTTAGACCCACACTTCTTAAACTGTGGCTCACAATTCCATATAGAGTCACATAAGTGAATGCAGAGGCTGTGAAAAGTTTGGCAACAGTAAAATGTTTCTGAATGTACAGTGACCCCAAATTAAATCCAACTCAGTGCATCATTAATCCATGTGGTTGCCAGTAGTGCTTGCCTGGGTTGCATCACAAGACTTCACTGCAGCCTTGGTTCTGAACACACAACGTGTACACTTAGTAGGACAGACTGTCATCCCACCCGGTGCCAACAGTGCTTGCTGAAACAACCCAGCTCAGATTCCAGGCTGCTGCATGCTATGCAGGGCAGTGTTTTCGCCATGCCTACAAAGCTTTCTGCTCTTACAGAAACATAGTGGCTTAATTATGGAAAACAGAGATTTAGTATTTCCTTCCCATCATTCCTCAGCATGTAAGTATCAAATTAGTATATCATTGGATGGAATTGTATTAGAATGTTTGATTTTAAAAATCGTTGTTGTTTTGCTCACCTCCCTTTGCTTCCTGGGCTGCACAGCCTCCAGTGTCCTAGTGCCAGCAACTTCCCTGGGTAAGTCCAGCGTGCCCATCGTGCCTTGACTCCCCCAGCCTCTTTCACCCTCCCAGCTCCCCCATCTTGTCTCTCCTCCTAGCCTGGGTACAGGCCCATTTCTTGTCTTGGCACCCCAGTCAACAGAGCTAACCTCTCAGCCCAGAGGCACCACTGCTTCCTGATCCTTTGCATCCAGACCAACCCAGTTCCTCCCTGTGGTCCCCAGGAACCCTCTGGGCCTGGTCCCTCCCTCACCTCCCTTTGCTTCCTGGGCTGCATAGCCACCAGCTTCCTGAGACGAGCCATCTTTCCTGGGCCCTACTCCCAGGCCAATCTCACTTGGGCCTCTGTGGGAACTCCTGAAGACAAAAGCAATTACGCCACTCCAATATAAAATCAAAAGAGAAAACCTGAAGCCTAGACCAACCAGCTTTTCATGCCCAACTACTAAACCACAAAGGCACTTAAAGTTTACAAAAGAAGCAGATCTAAACTCAACAAAGGAAGGCTTGAGTCTTACACAAGAATCAGAATCCACTAGAGAAATTCACATGTCAAAGTCACAGAGAAAAAAATAAGAACATGAAAAGTCAAAATCCATACCAGTAGTCCTCCAGAGGAGTACAATGAGAACTCCATAGAGATAACACAGGACATGGAACTCAAAACAACAATTATAAACATGATAAAAGAATTCAGTGATCTTAAAAAAACAGGCAAACAAAGAAATCAAAGACCTGAGGGAAGATAGGGATAAACTTCAAACTTCTGAACGAATTCAGAAAAGAGCTAGAAATATTGAAGACTATTCAGGCTGAAATGAAGAAGAAAGTTAAACACTCAG